TCAGGATTCAGAGATGTTATTTTATTGGCCAAAGTTTTAACCTGCGCAGGGGCGGACCCTCAGAGTGTCCGGAGACACGGTGCTCATAAGAGCTGCAAACGAGAGCCGCCCCTAAGCGCTTACGGCTAAGTCTTTTTATAGACACGAGCAAGCAAGCATTGTATAGAAGCAAACGTGGCTGTTAGCTACTGGCTACTCGGGTGGCGCGAGCATGACCTAAGCTTTCTGGGTTTTGAGTAATGGAAAAATTTTAATCTAGACGCTTGAACAGGTGGTCCTCTACTTGTTCAGCCCCACTGGTTTTGTAGTTCCGCCTTCTCCACTCCCTATGTTCTTTCTTAATTTCCTTGTGGTTTCTGCCTCCAGGCCAAATCTCTTTAAGGCAGTCCCTACTTTATTCTCTATTTTTCTGGTTTCAACAAAGAATAAGTGGGAATCTGAATGGACCTACAGCAGGCGAAGAACTGAGTCAGCAATCCAACCCGATTACATTCAACGTCCCACAGACACAAGCCCGAATAGCATGGTATCGCCGGGAAATTTTACTAAACATGAACAACAACACATAACAAATCACCCCAAACTCTTCCCAAAAAATGGCCAAGGAAACCTCTCCCAGTTCATTCTACGAGGCTGGCATCACCCTACTGCCAAGGAGAGGTAATGGCGTCAGAGGAAAACTACAGACCAATGTCCTTTCCGAACATCAGTGCAAGAACCCTCAACCAAGTGCGAGCAAACAGAACCGACCACACGTAAAAAGGCTCATCCATCGTAGCCAGGTGAGCTCGATCCCAGGAATGCAGGGTGGTTAGCATGCAAAAGCCAGTCACACCGTATTGATGGAAGGATGAAAAATCATCTTGGCAGACACAGAAAAAGCATTTGATAAAATTCTGACACCCTTTTACGACAAAAACAGTAAACAAAGTAAGAATAGAGGGAAATTCTTCAATATAATAAAGGAAGACTACAAAAAACAAACAAAAAAACCCCCACAACCCTACACAGATGAAGTCACAGTTAATGGTGACAGACTGCAGGCCGCTTCCCAGAAGCAGGAACAAGATTCCGTGTCTGTTCAGCATTGTCTCGGGTGCTCTCCTTGGGGCCGTTAGGCAAGGTAACAGATACAAGACTTCCAGGTTGGAAAGGAAGAAGTTGATAAACTATCTATTTACAGATGACAGAATCGCGTGTATAGAAAACCCAGAGGAGTACACCAAAAAAAGAGCTAATAAATAAGATTGGTAAGGTCACAGGGTGCAAGATAAATATACAAAAACATTGTTTCTAGACACTAGCAATAAACGATTTGATAAGTAAATTAAGAAAATAATTCCATTATTAATAGCATCAAGTAGAATAAAACAGGAATAAATTAAACAAAAGAAGAAGAGCAAGGCTTATACACTAAAATGAAAAGTCATGGGGAGAAATAAAAAAATGATTTTATTTATTTATTTTTAGAGAGGGGAAGGGAGGGAGAAAGAGAGGGAGAGAAACATCCATGTGTGGTTGCCTCTCACATGCTCCCTACTGGGGACCTGGCTCACAGCCCAGGCGTGTGCCCTTGCCAGGGTCCAGCCTCGGCAGGTCTCAGGGTCCCCAAAGGATGGATGGCGCAGGTGACGAAAGAGTCAGACACCCGATTGGACTGGCACGAGAACAGCCAGTCTCTGTGGGTCTGACCGAACTCTCAGAGTCTGATTAAGCTTTATTTTTACAGAGGTTGTTACATAACATTAAAGGAACAGGTACATGGCATGATCAATTAAGCAGAAAAATATCAATATAGAGGTAACTAGGAAAAGTACAGGAAATTCCATAGATTCAGTTATGTTAAACAAAGGTTATTTTGACTAGGAGAGCCATCAGTCAGACAATTAGAACTAGCTGTATGTACAGAGTTTTAAATGTCTTATTGTTTATTAAAGTTCTTAGAATTTGGCATGAGTCAAAGGGATACACTAGACGGAGCAGAGGTAATAGGCAATTTATTACAAGGCCTCTGTGGTGTCTAACTTAGCTCTCTCTCTTCCTGTCTAGAATCTTTCTGTACTTTGGACTCTGACTCCTTGGTAATTGTTTCTACGTGCTTAGTTTGTAATAGCTAACCAGCTTCTCCTGCTTCTTTACCTGCCTACTTCTAATTAATACATATTCCTGTCCAAGGTAGAGGAGGGGCTGTTACTCCATCAACTTTTAGACATTCAGGGGCTACTTCATTAGGGAGGACTTTGTTCTCTGGCCAAGCAATTATTTTGCGCACCTGCACTGGAATTCTGTGGATCATTGGACCCGAAACACAGGTGTCTAAAAATCCCACCACCTATTCACCCCAAAGACGAACATGCAGGGAGAGATAGACAGGACGTCCAGCCACAGTTGCCTCTGCTGTGCAGATGCATCTCATCTGTCCCCACTGTGTCAAGGGACAGCTGCTGGTCGGTTCCTGACATCTCCCCCTTTTTTATTTTTTAAGCGCAAGCTTTCCACTTCTAATGGTACTTCTCCGATTCCTCTTGCAAGGAGTCGGAAGGTGACTGGAAGAAGACAGATTCCAATGAGTACAATTCCAATGATAAGTGCCAAATTAATTGTGAAGGATATGATATCTTGACTATTGACAAAGCTTTTAAGTTTATTTAAAAAATCAGCTGTTACTTGAGACACGGGTAGAAGAGTATTATTAGAATTACTAATATTTTGAATTCCTTGATATAAAGTTTTTAAATCTAAACTTATATCACTATTATTTCAAATATCCTGTAAATGATTTTGAACCTTATTCTAAGCAACTATAGAAGCATTATATTCAAGAGGAGTAACACGAATCCACGGATACTCAGCATGGCATCTTAGCATAAGTCTTACCTTAAGTGAAAGTAATTGGTTCCCTATGTGGATTACTGCTTCCTCTAGAGCATTAACTTTTGCCTGTAATCCTTTGTCTGTATTTTTTTGAGCTGCCAAGGAGAAAGTATATTCTTTGTCAGCTGATCTACATGCTGAGCTGTATGGACTTTGTACTAAAGCAGTGGTGGAGGCTGTCACTGCTCCAATGGCGGCTATACGAGCAGTGACACCAATTGTTAAAGCCCCCAGAAACCTTTTCTGACATGAAAGCGCATTACTCATTTCCTGAATAGCGTGCAGACCCGGACTATCATACCAGGGAACGTCTAGTTTCACAGGAAGCACGATATATGGTGGCCGCTGGACGGTTATAACCACATCTGTCTGGCTTCTTCAAGAAATGGAGTTAGTTAATATGCAGTCTTTGCAAGAGACAGAATAGGTAAGAATTTTCTTACTTTCCAGAGTAATGTCTAGCACACTTTTGGGTCTTTTTATTAAAATGGCATATGGAGCTTGTACACAAGCCTGAATCAAATGAGTTTCTGGGGCAGTGGTAGTTTTATTAGGGCGTCTTACGTGCACATCATCCGTGGTGGCAACTTAATCGCCATAATTTAGATTGAATATACTGTTTATCGTCAACTGTCCTGGTCAATATACCATCAACCCATCCCGCTGAACATCATTGTGCTATAGAAGAATTTGGAGGAACTGCTCCAGAGACAGAACCAGAAGAAAATATGCTGAAGGGGTTAACAGGAGATTTGCCCAAAGGCAGAGTGGGATTAGTTACGGACCAATCAACAACTGAATAGAAAGGCTGCTGAGAGTGTTGTAGGACTCCTGTTGAAAATACACAAGGACTCCACGGAGGGTACCCTGTAGCCCTGTCCATAGAGATCCAAACAGTATCACTCGGAGGATCACAGGGGGAAGACGAGCAGGAGAGGACTCTCGTGAAATACGATACAAAAGGTTAAATTCATCATCTGCTATAGCCATAAAGGTCATAGACCACATTTAGCGCGGTGGTGGTCTTCGCGTCTCTCAGTGGCCAGAGGAGAGCTGGTGACTCTAGTTCTCAGATAAGAACTTAAACATCCAGGAGGGGGAGGATTACCCATAAAAGAAAAGCAAATAGGTGGCGAATTGGAAATTCCTGAGAAAGTGAAACTGTCGTTAGTTTGCAGGGTCATATGGGAACTGGACTCTCCTCCTATCAGCTTGGTGTTATTTATAAAGACGGGAATATCCTCAGTTTCCCACCCCGCCAATCGAAGGATAGCAGGTTCAGGGATGTATGTCCAATGTATCTTATGTAAAGCGAAAGCAAAAAGACACCTGACACGGGAGCACAGCTAACATGGCAACAAACAAGGTAGAAGGGGTTTTAGCCACGTGTTGTTGAGTAACAGTCTTTTCTGCTTCCTCAGTGAGTGCCTTGATCTGGCCCCCAGGAGGGGGCTTGGTGTTACACGCAGACCAGGCAGCTTCCTGGTCTGCAGGCGGCAGCTTCCACCTGGTGGGTTCTGTCTGGGTTGCAGAGGGGCGGCACCATCTGAGTCACCGAGGAGGGGACGCTTTGGATAGAAACGGCAGCCCTCCTGGGGAGGTGATGGAAGTCTCCGCCGCCGCCGTGTGCTTCTTGGCGGCGGAGGTGGCGGAGTCAGACGGCAGCGGTGGTCCATAGGGTCGGATTAGACGATCTGGCATCCAGATGGGGCAGTCTGCGTCCTGTGGGAAGACACAGCATGTCCTCTTCCCCAAGTTGGAACCACATCAGGACCTTTCCATTGCTCGGTAAGCAGGTCCTTCCATTTAACTAAAGGCTTAGGTTTCTTCCTCTCAGATTCCAGTGTTTTTGGAAGTTTGTACTTCTGTCAGGGTTGGCATTGAGGAAATTAAGAACAAGAAGAGCATGATGTAAAATCTGATGCAGGGAGCAGTACTTAAACTCTCCTTCCTGCAGTTTCCATATTTGGATTTTTAAAGTCTGATACGCTCTTTCCACTATAGCTTGCCCTCGGGGGTTATAGGGAACGTCAGTGCCATGCACTATATTGAAAGCAATACAAAAGCTTTTGAAGGCTTTAGTGGTATAAGCAGGGGCATTGTCTGTTTTCACAGCCTTGGGCATCCCGGGTAAGAAAATGCCTGAAATAGATGCTGTACCACATCTTTGTAAGCTTCTCCGGTCCTTGCAGAAGCAACGAGAGCGTGTGGGTAGGTCTCCACACGCACATGCACACAGCAGAGTTTACCAAAAGATGGGACGTGAGTAACATCCGTCTGCTGGAGATCACTGGGTCTGAGTCCTCGAGGGTGAACTTCGGCACTAGGACAAGAACTATGAGTAGGACAGTGACCACCGTCGCCTACAGTGTTACGAGCAGATGCTCTAGGTAGCGGAACTGCAGTCTGAGTGCAGAAGCATTTTGGTGATGTAGGGCATGGGACTTGGCAGCCTCTTCCACTGCTGACAAGGAGATAATATTTTGAGTTAATAAATCGACTCTCCTGTTTCCTTCATGGAGAGGTCCCGGGATGGAAGTTTGAGCCCGAATATATCCTACAAAGAAGGGTTGTGTTCTCTGATGAATATGCTTTTGTAAGGCTTGTAACAAAGGAAAGATAGTTAGTTGTTTTGTTGTCTGGCAACGAAGCAGTTTCAATATGAGGAAATAACTGAGCGATGTATTGAGAGTCAGTATATGAATTAAAGGGGACATGCTCTAATTGAGCAAATGCAAAAATGACGGCCACAATTTCAGTTCTTTGGGCAGAGTTTTCTGTGGTTTGGTTAACAAATGGTGTACTATTAATAATAGTTACAGCTTTTCCATTGCATGAGCCGTCAGTAAAACCTGAGGCAGCAGGAGGGGGAAGCGGACTACTCCATGTCCTGTTTGGAAGAGTGACAGGATGTTCGTTTAAGAACTGCGGTAAAGGATGTGGCGGAAGGTGGAATGTCACCTGTCCGGTGAAAGAGCCAAGTGCAATGTGCCAGTCCTCACGAAACCGGAAGAAGAACTGCAGCTGCTCTTTGTTGTGCGGTGTAATAATTTCGGACATTTCTACTCCAAATGATTCTCTACTCCTTAATCTTCCCTTAGACGTTAATGTGGCAACCGGAGAAGGGTAAGACCTCACAATCCTGTTTTGTGAAATGGGCAAGTGAATCCATTCTAGGGGCCGTCTCGCCAAAAACACCCTGTTGGTGGATGTGGCGTGGATAAGATGATTCGTAACCAGCGTTTGTAATGATTCAGACGGCGAAGACTTTGATTATTTGTAGCCTGTTCTACCCTAGACAAGGCTACCTCAGCGTCTGGGGTAAGACTATGTGGGGAGCTAGGGTCTGAGTCACCCCGAAGTGTGTCAAATAGAGGTTTAAGCTTGGCTGTAGTCAGCCGTAAGTAGGGCCTAATCCAATTAATATCTCCAAGAAGTTTCTGCTAATCACTTAGCATACTTAACGTATCTTTTCTTAATTGCAGAGGCTGATAGGCGACTATGTTAGTGTGTAGTATCTGGCCCAGGTAAGAAAATAGCGGTTGTGTCTGGGTTTTTTCAGGCGAGCCCTTTAATCCATGAGCTTGCAAAGTGTTGACTGCTGTCATTAGAACTGCCTGCAAATGACTTTCATCAGGGTGGGCTAATAAGATGTCATCCATACAGTGTACAATGCCCTGACTGAGAATTGAACCGTCAACCTTTTGGTTCACAGGCCCGTGCTCAATCCACTGAGCCGCACCAGGCATGACTGGGAAGGAAATTAAAGCAGACCTAAATAAATGGAAAGATACTCCATATTCATGGCCTGGAAGATGTGATATTGTTAATACGGCAATATTCCCCTAAGTTGGTCTAGGAATTCAATGCAACCCCCATCAAACCAGATCTGGCTTTTTAAAAATAGGAATCAAAAAGCTGATTCTAAAATTTCTTCTCTGTTATCTTGCGCATTGTAGGGTATTTAGCAGCATCTGTGGCCTCTACCTGCTGCTGCGACTCTCATCAGACCTTGGGCACAACAGGCTTTGGAAGCCAGACATTTGGAAGGTCCCCTGAGCTCGGGACCATTAAATGCCAAGGAAATACGGGGAGACACCATGGCCTCTGCCGCAAAGTCCTTCCGCGGCGCTCAGACACACTCGTGTGCCACGTCAGTTCACGCCAGACTGCCACTGGTTAGTATGTGACAGTGGTCACGATGAACCCAGAACTGAAAGCCCCTTGGGACAGGAGATTAGTGGGACAGCTCCTAGCTGCAGTCCGCAGATGGTCTCCAGGGCACGACACACCCTCATCTTCCTCCCCCCATCTCTCCCAACTCTGGGCTAGCACTTCTGTTCTGGGTTGCTTGTCTGGGGGGTCTTTATCCCCGAGCGGTTTGCACCCCTTCACTGTGTCTTGTCAGGCCCTATTCCTGCAATTGTCCATTCCCGGTCGTTCCTGGGCCTCGAGGCCCCCCAGCGGGTAATTCCCAGCACTCCAGGCCCACCCCTCCTGCCCACCTCTGCGCACAGGTAACTTGTCTCCTCATCGGAATCGGAGGGAACTGCCGGCCCTGCCTGTGTGTCAGCTCCTTCCTCTGCCAGCTGGTCTGTTGATGGAAGGGTGCAGTGCATCCTCACAGTAACCAGGCTTTAGAGTTAGTGGGGCCCTTACCGGTCCTTCTGCAAAGTGCTCCCTTGTCCCTCTCCCCTCGCCCCATCAGGAAACTAGGATCTCAAGTCCCGCCAAACCTGACCCGCAGGTTCCTCAGGGGACGCTGAGAGTGGTGGTGAGGGAGGCCAGTGGACTGCTGTCCCTCGGTGCCGCCCATCAGGGACCCAGCACCTCGACCCCTCGCAGTCCAGCTGGCGCCTCAGCGGCAGCGTTTGGCCCCTGCAGTGCCCTGTCACGCCGGCACTTCCACGTGCCGGGACACACTAGGGCCGCTGGACCCCGTGATCAACTACCTGTTGTTGCATCGCCTCTGACACAAGCCAGTCCCTGGGTCTGAGCCGATCTCTCAGGCAGGGTTCACTGGAGAAGCAGACCCATTTGGGTGGGAGAGAGGAAGGTGCAGTGCGGGGCAGAAGTGTGCCCTCGGAAAGGTGTCCACGCCGGGTCCCTGGGACCATGACTGTTAGGTTAGAGGGGAAAGGGGAAGTTAGGGGGGCTTACGGGATCAAGGTTGCCTCTCAGCTGACCTTAAAACTGAACGCTCGCCCTGGGCTTGTGGGCAGGCCCAGGTCAGGACTCTGCCATGTGAGAAGAACTTGACCTTTGACGATGTTGTTGGCTTGAAGATGGAAGAAGGAGCGACAAAGCCAAAGGGTGAGGGAGGAGTCAAGGAGCCTATTTTCCGAGAGAGCTTCCAGAAAGGCACACTCGAGGGGTCAGCAGGGGGCAGGGCTCCTTTCCAGCTGCCGAGGGGCTCCTCCCTGTGATAAATACCAACACTATTTATCAGCACTTTCTGCTGCTGCTGTAACAAAGTAACCGCAGGGGCTTAAAAGGACACGGTTACTGCATTACAGACTTGCAAGTTCCCGGGTTGGGGAGCCCCAGACGGGTCTCACTGGCACGAAAGTGCCGTGAGGTGAGGCAACACGGGACCTGTGTCCGGTGAGGCGTGGCCAAGGATGGGGACGTTGCCTGAGCCTTCTCCTTGGGACCAAATGAGATTAGAATTTATTTTTCTGGCAATACAGGGTGGGGCAAAAGTAGGTTACAGTTGTGAGTACGTGAAACACAGACTTTATTCTTGTACTATTATTTATTAATTAGTGCATTGTTTTTCATAGGAACAACCGTAAACCCACTTTTGCCTCACCCTGATTAGTGTTTGTAATATTAACTCTTAACTATTGTTTTAAACATTTTATTTACTTATGTTTAGAGAAAGGGGAAGAGGGGGTTGAAAGAAAGGGAGCGAAACATCAGTGTGTGGTTGCCTCTCATGTGCCCCTTATTGCGGACCTGGCTTGCAACCCAGGCATGTGACCTGACTGGGAATCAAACCAGTGACCCTTTAGTTTGCAGGCTGGCACTCAATCCACTGAGCCACATCAGCCAGGGCTTAACTATTGTTTTAAATGGTAAATAAAACATGTTCTGTGTAATGCAGCTGGTACAAATTTCCATGTAAAGCATTATTTATATTGGCGTGGGGGCCTAATAGTCCTTTTGAAGCTCAACGTTATAGGGTTTGCCATGAAAACACAGAACACCCAGCACATGGGAACTTCAGATAGACAAATTTTACTATAAGGATGCCTTCAGCGTTACAAGAGACATAGACTAAAAGGTTACTTGTGGTTTATCTAGAGCGACAGGCAGGGCACAGATGACTTCTGCATGTGTACGTGGTAGGAATCATCTAGATTTCACGGAGGGAACGGCAGGCTTGTACACTAAAAATTTCACCTTCATCTCTTTCTGTGAGTACAATGCCGGAGCATCCAAGCCACTGCATGACAGACAACATTTTTGGTATAAGTATGTCCCATGCAATATTTGGGACACCCTTACACTCAAAGAATTGTTTACCTGAAATTCAAACTGAACTGGGTGTCCTGGCTTTTTATTTGGCTAAATCTGGCAACTCGAAGTGGTGTGCTCACTTTCGGCTCTGGCCAGCATCTGCAGGCCCCCTGGGGACAGCCACCCGGGAATCAGTTTCTATGAACACCTGCTGGTCGTGATCTAAGCGGGTGACTTGCCTCCCCTAGTGGTGAGCTTGTCAACGAGCTACAGGCAGGGCCCCACTTAATCCTCACAAAGTGCCCCGGGGTGTCGCCGCCCAGCAGAGGTGCTATGTGAGCCATGTGCCAAGGTCTCCCCCGGGGGGATTGCGGCCAGATGCCCGCAGACGGGTGGACACCAAGAAGACTGCTACGTGCGGAAGTGATGCGCGCACCGGCTCGTGGTGCCCGCAGCGCCATGGATGAGACATGAGACAAATTCACACAGAATACTGAGTCCTGTGGAGGAAAAGGGACAGCACGGCTACTCCCTCGAGAGGGGAGTGCCCCGACCCTCGCCTAGACAGGCTTCTGCTGGTTTTACTGTGCAGGAGTTCAGGCACAACTTATTAATCATTGTCAGGCAGTAAACAGTAGATAGCATACAGAGAACTAGTAGGGCTTCTTCTGAGTCAGGGTCTATCAGCTAAAAGGCTACAAAACTTTGGGAAAACAGACTCACTTTCTGCCTGGGCCTTTATCATTTAACTAATAGCACTCTTAGCAAAGCAGGCTTCACAGGATTTTACATATCCTCTCTCAGGCCTGATTACCCGGGGAACCTGCCCTTTCCAGCACAGGGCTGCACCCCCCAGTCATTGTTTCAGGCTTAAGTCAGACAGAGGAGGTAGATAGGCATGGAATTTTGGGAGACTTCTCACGGAGTCAGGGGAGTCAGGCTTCGTCAAAACCAAGGGGAAAGGGTCCATCACCCCTTTCTCCATAGCCCCCCAAGTCCTTCCCTGGGCCTCCACGTGATCGTGCCTGTCCTAGGTGGATTCCCCCTTGGGGAATCTTACCCGTCATTGGCTAACTGACCAAGCACTGGGGGCCAGTTATGGAAAAAGGAGCAGAAGCAGCGCTCCTGCCAGGGAGAGAAGCTTTGTCTCCTTAGTGGCTTTCAGTCCAAAGGTCGCTCACTCAGCCTTAGCCATGGGGCGGGGGTTACAGCTCCTGAAACCAGGCAGGGTGGTCCCCAACACAGACTTCAGAGTGGATGGTGTACTTTTACTCCATGAAGTTCACAATGCCCTTTTCATAAGTAAAATTCCAGAGGATTAAAGCTTTATGGAAACTGGGAACAGGCAAGAATTGAGTACCCAGAAAGCACTACACTCATTGTTACATATGTCAGGACTGATTCTAATACATTTTTTGAGAAAACAGGCCATCTTTCTTAGAGAGATAGGAAAAATGTTTTTCTTCTTCATTCCTTCCCTTTCCCCTCGGTCCTGTCCCCTTTAGGAAGTTTTCAGGACGGGGGTGAGGGCCGGGAGGGTGGCTGAGAGGAGAAACGTTTAATTTAAATCAGCTTCTGAGAGGTCTAGTTTTTCTATTTCCTCCCTCTTCCCAAGACCTTTTTCCTTTCTGAGTCAGAATATCCGCTCCATCAACTTTATATTGTCTGCAGTTACTGCTCCTTCGCTCCCAGCCCGCCCTCGGCCAGAGCCTGCGTTCCTTCCTCCTCTTGCCTCCTTCCCCTCAGGTGCACTCGATGACATTCTGTCCCCTCCGTCAGTGATCAGGCCCTGGCCACAAACCCCCCACTCCTGCCTCCCTGTGGCCCAGGCCTGGACTTGCAGCCCCCTAAACCCAAGGGAAAGAGCAGGGAGAAAAATCTGTGTGTCACTGCTGCTTGTCACCTTGTTTAGGGACCAGGGACTTCATTGGGCATCAGAGATGGATTTATTAAATATCTGCTTCCGTGTCCATCTTGAAAAAAACGAGAAAGCGCATCAAAAACACCAAGGTGGGAGGGCTCCCGGTGGACATCCACTGTGTTGGGCATCAGAGTCGAGGGCTTAGCCGCAGGGAGGCAGATGTGTGGGGACCCGGAGTCCCCTCGGGAGGTGCTTACCGCGAGAAGAACCTGGGGAAGCGCAGCAGCCTCGGCCCAGAGAGCAGAGCGGGGCAGGCGAGCTGTGCTCCAACCAGGTCCGCCACCGGCTGAGAAAAGTGTGCAAAGGGGTTTCCTGTCCAGGACAGGCAGTGGGATAGTGGCGGCGGCGGCAGGCAGCCCCTCGGGATGCATGATGCTGGCCACAGGGCGTGGGGCTCAGGGACCCGCCCTCGGACCACCAACTCCTGGGGAAGGGTCCGGCTGCAGCACCTCGGGTACAGAAACGTTACCAAGCTCAAGCACAACCAAGTCGAAGACTTTTGGCCCCTAGTTTTATTACATCAACATGAAAACTACTTACAGCAATACGGTTTAAGACAAAAACACAGAATTATCGGTACAAAAGGCTTTCAAAGGAGACAGGGAAAACATCTGCAAGTCCTTCTACAAGTCAGTGAACACACAGACACCATCAGAAACACTCACTCACATCAAACTGTGCATCTCACACTCGACCACCGTTTCCCGCACCTACACAGTGTTGGGCTCCGCACCAGGGCAGGGCCGGGGATGGGCCCGCGGACACGGGAGACACCTGCTCTCCCAGAGCGCGGGGGCTCGTGGGGGCAGTCAGACCTCAGACCCAGCAAACAAGTAACACGCCAGGCAGTCACGGGCTGCAAGGAGGGGTAAGAAGGGAAGTTTCAGTGCATTCTCTGATTCTTAGGTGCTACCAGACGCTGCTTTCGAGATGGCAGGCCGGGTAAAAGACACAGAACTCTAATGCTGTTTGTAAAATAACTTTTGTAGGTTGCGAAGTTCTGGTCAAATGCTGTTCTGAACAGCATTTCTAATGCTCTGAGGAGAACCTAGGCTCGGTGCTTCGTGGCCCTGTAATGGGCCATGGGCCACACAGTGCGTGTGGGCGTTAAGTGCGCATGGCCATGACAGCAGACCGTGCCACTGAGCACGCCTCTGAGACACTCGTCTACCTTCTATGTTAATACTAATCGCAGTAGTGCTGGCTGCAACAATGTAAATCTTTCACACAAAGTCTTAGGTTACATCTATCCATGCCAAGAGCCATCAGCGCGATAGTTTTGAGACAGGCCACCAGTGCCCCCAAGTCCAGAGTCTCAGGAAAAGGCCCGCTGGCCCATGGACAAGCGCCCAGCGAGGCTGCGGCAGACGGGGCATCCTGCGTGCGCCCGTCCCCACGGCCAGCGAGCCCGGGGCATCCTGTGTGCTGCTACCGAGGCCCAGACACCGCTCCTTGACAGCCACTGGGATCTCCAACCCTGGAGACGCGCTCCCACGTCTCAGGGGCCAATGTCAGCGGCGCCTCTTAGCTGCCACAACCGAGATTTCCTCGGCTCACATTGTCTGCAGCCAAGGCCCTGCCACTGACCTCTTCACTCCACCCCACTGCACATTCTGATCTGTCGCTCCACCTCGGGCGGAATCAGGCTTCTGGGTGACCGCAGGGAGAACCTGGTCTGAGCCCTGAGCCTCGCAAGCTCAGGGAGCTGCGACGCCGGACAGAGCCCACGCGCTTGGCACGAGTCCTCTGAGAAACGCCCGGTCTCACGTTCCTGGCACCTGAGATGCCTCTGGGGCGAGCTACCCTTTCAGGAAGTCTTGTCCGTGGTGGTGGTCGTCAGCGTTTCCAGAGAACCTCCCTAGGGCCTGCGTCAGTGGCAGAAGGAAAAGACCCAACATCTAAGCACCTCCTGAGGCACGCGGGGCTGTGTCCTCGGGATGAACAATGTGCAGTGACAGCGCAGCACCCAGCAGCGCTGTGACGGCATCGACCAGTGGGTGCACGAAGACCCCCCGAGGCCGGGACAGGTCTCTGAAGACGTCCCCCGGGGGGAAGCGACGTGGAAGGCCTGTCCCCAGATTCCTGCAACTGCTCTGTAAACAGGTGACGCACTCGCCTGTTTTTAGGACGCACGACACAAGGATGTTTCTCCTCCAACCAGCACACGTCCTCCCGGCACCAGGAGACACGAGGGGCCGAGGCCCGTGGCGGAGGCCAGCCATGCCCCCGGGGTTGGCGCTCACTCCCGCCACGCAGCGCCCTCCTGCCCAAGGTCGCCGCTCGCTCTGCTGCCGCTGGTCTCGTCATCGTCGTTAGAGTAGTTTCCCGAGTCCTCACTGGTCTGGGAATTGTACGTTTTGTGACCTTCACCAGTTCGACTAGTTTCTTCTACTAGGGCGATAGTGTCTATATTTTCAATTATAAAACATTTTTCAGTTTGCTCCTCGGAAGTGGAAAGTAGTATGTTCTTTAGTGACTGTTCAGAGATGTACTAATTTAAAAAAGAAAGAAAATAGAAATGGGTCACTTAAAATAATAAAAACCAACTTTCTAGTCTTATCAGCTTTTGTTTCCTACTGGAAAGTCCACTCAGACCCGACCCCTGCTCCCGAGGTCACGTGTGGGCTGGCGTCCTTCCCGGTGGGCGCGGCAGCGGGGCACCGGGGGACAGGCAGCGCGGGGCCTGGACTGTGGGCATTTGCCATAAAATATAAATATTTTATACCCAGTCCACAAAGACCCAGAGCACAAAAATGATAAAATTAAATTTCCCTGTCACAAAGGAATAGCTGTTGTCCCTGGCTGGTTTAATCTCTTCAACTTGAAGAGTATTAGAGTGCATCGGAGTGACTTTACACTCAGGGACATGAGAGAAACGTGTGCAGGGTGTTTTCATGGGACTCAGCACCCCCGGCGGGTCTCCGCCGCTCACCACATCGTGCGTGGGGAGGCGGCCCCGGCCCCCGCACAGCCCGGGAGGCCTGCTGGAGCCTGCGCAGACGCACCCCGGCCGGCCGGTTCTCCTCCACGTCTCTCCAGCCCCAGGGCCCGAGCTCTCACCTACATCTGGGACTGGCCTGGGAAGCCCCCGAGAGGGACACACCGCCCCGCAGGTCCAGGCGCAGGCCCACCGTACACAGGGCTTTCCCTGACTGTCCCGACCTCACAGGGCGGAGGGGGGGTGGTGGTACCAAGGAAGCTCGCTTTGTCTTTCTGCTTCCGAGGCGCTCCTCCCCTGCAGGCCCGGGACCTCGGCTCCTGCCCCGAGGGCAGTGGCTGGTCTTTCCAGGACTACGCAGACTTTCAGGGGTAAAACTGCCAGAACAGTACGAGACTATGGACAAACCTTGCTCTCCCCTGTGGTGTTCCATTAAACAAGTGTTCCCACAGTTGACTCGCTGACAAGGTGAGTCGGCACTGTCTTCTAAGTAGCAGAGAACACGTGTGTCCTGTACAAACCTGATGCGGTTGCCCTTTGTTTTAAGGACAATCCCGCTGTGATGCGGAAGAGCCACCCACCTGGTCGATGGCGGAGGGCGGTGCGCGGTGTGGGAAGAACACGTAGCCCACCAGTCTCCGGAGGCCCTGCAGGGCGCACAGGGCGAAGGTGACACCGAGCACAGTGCAGGTGACAGCCGTCAGCCAGGCCCTGGGAGAGTCTCCTAAACACAGGTCACGAAGCTTAGTGCCCACGGGGCTTCTGCCCACAGACGGGTTAAAAGCAGTGGCGGGTCGTGGGAGAGAAATGGGGCCGTGTGAAAAGGAATCTATTAAGTGAAAATCTGCCAAATAACATCCTTACGGATATTTCTGGCAGCGCTGAGCCCATGCCTGCTGTCGGCAGGACATCTGCTCTTCACCAGTGGCCCCCCCGGGAGGGACAGCCCCAGCCCCGAGCACCAGCCCCATGGCCAGCCGCCCCAGGACTCCGGGACCCAGCCCCGACCCACTCGCGTGAGGAGGGAAAATGCAAACCGGGAGCAGCCCAGTTCCATGTGAAAAAACAAATTCACAACGAAACTAACTGATTTTCACATAAGACTTCAAGGAGCATGTAAAAAATTTAAGTCTTATTTAATACTGAAAGGTAGTAACTACAGAAAGTCAATTATATGGACATTGGATGAAATACAAAGCATTCAAAAACCAGGGAATGGAACTGAGCACTAATGATATTTTCTAGAACTGAAAGACTTAGCCTGAAGGTCTACTTTTAATTCACGGTGTCACGGACAGCACATCCCCTCCGTTTCCGCAGTTAAAACGAAGTGCCGGACGGTTTTAAAGGACACGAGTCATTGGGAGACGGCCATTCCAGCGCCCCAGGCGACGCACTGAGGACTCTGACCTGGCTGTGTCCTCTCGCACACGGTGTCGCCGAACTCGCTTCTGCTGTTCCACTTGCGGGTGTGCAGGAGCGCCCTGGCCTTGACGCAGTACACGGTCAGCGCTTTCAAGTTCGGAATAATGAAGTCAGCCCTTTCCTCCGTAATTGTTTTCTATAAAAAGAAGCACATCATTGATAAAATTCAGTCACCTCACGAGATCATACAAGGAGCAGCTACCTTCTGAGTCCTTTGAATGGCCCATCTCAGACCAGCCGCTCCCAACACTGTTGGGGTGCGTTTAAGAAATACAGACTTGTCTTTGACGACACAATGTAACCAAGTCAGAAAGTTAAAGATGCTGCTGCTGAAAAGAAACACTTTTTTTTTTCAATGTACGGTTGCTTCTGGTGCATCCCCTGCTGGGAACTGGCCCCTGCTGGGAACTGGCCTGCAACCTACGAATGTGCCCTGACTGGGAATTGACTGGGAAGATCGTCTGGTTCGCAGGCCCGCAGGCCCGCGCTCAATCCACTGAGCTACACCAGCCAGGGGTGAAACACAATTATTTTTAAGACACTCAGACACGTTTATTAGGAACACGCGAACTGGGTGCCATGGCCATTGCACGGCCTCTGCCCAGGGATGGAGTGGGGGGCGGGGGCTCTGGCCCCCAGCTGCGGAGAGAAGGGATCCCTGACTGCTCTGTGGCCTGGGGCAAGTCACCTGTCTCTGGGGTGGACCTGCCACCAGATGGGGAGTGCGGAGGACAACGTGGCCTCCTGTCACAGCCGGCCATCGCCACGCCAGTGCGGACTGGACACCGAAGAGCACCGTGCACTGCCACACTGCCCTCCCTGGCTCGGAACTCGCCATTCTCCTCACTCACGAGTATCCCTGCCGTCACAGCTGGACATCAGGGCGGGCCTGCTCCATGGTCCACTCCGCCCTCCCCGGACGAAGGCCCACGCGGAGCACACACTTCTCCGGACGTGCGGCACACACACGAGGGTGGCCACATTGAACGCACACAGAGCAAGCATCACACCCTATCACAAGCTCTGTCTCCGCCTGCCAGGGAAGCTGCAATGGACACTCGTCCCAGATGTTTGCTGAAAGGACTCTCCCCGGTCACACGGCCCGGCGGGGCTGTTTTGGGAATGATGGAGACAATGCACGCAAAACCCTTCTGAACACACGCCTGACAGACAGTAGGCGCTCAGTACACACGAGCTGCTACTATTACTGTAGCCGCTGACGAGTGGCTCCCTGGTCCCCATGGGCCAGCACAGGACACAATGGCAACTGGAAGTTACCGAACCTCGACCACGTACCGTGCAGCATGCTAGGTACCACTTCATCCGTTACCCCCATTTAAACCTCATAAACAAGCTCCCAGAGACTGACTACCACGATCGCCACCATTTCGAGAGGAGACAGGCTCGGAGAGTAAAGCATGTTCCTGAAAACAGGCGTCGGACGATTCGGCAGCGTTGAGACGCAGACCCGGGTCTTCCTGAACGAGGGACAACCGCCCATAACTGTCACTGGGCCAAGTGACGCTGGGGCTACGGTGCGTGCAGACAGTTAAAGTAGCCAAGCACCTGGCATTTTCTTCAATTCCCGACAGAAAGTGAAGTTATAGAACTATTAACCAACTCAGTGGCGTAAGACTTTCAAAGGCTGCCTCCTAACTACAACCCACAGGACGGACGGTCCGGGTGGGCCTCGGACTGTCTGGGGCCATGGGCTCTCTTTGCCGGTGGCGTGGAGCTCTGGTGTCCGAACCAGGATTCCCGGCCCTCCATCAGGCTGCCCCGCAGGAGCCTCTGCAGGTGGCTCTTTCTGCGCCCCCTGCACCGTGAAGCTGAACGCAGGGGTGAGACTGCACTGGGCCAGGGGGGCTGGAGGGAGCTGCTCTGCCCTCCTAGAGCTGAGAGCCACTGCCACGGCTGTGACTCAGCCCCTCGGAACCCACACTGGCCCCACCGGAGGCGCCCGGTCCCTGGGAGGCACCTGGCACGCCCAGAGGCATCTCGTTTGTCACACCTGGGAGGAAGCTCTGCACCCAGAGGGAGCCCAGAGGCCAGAGCCCAGGTGGGCGTCCCAGGGCCTGGGAGACAGCCCCCCAGCCCAGCAGAGAGCGAGCCAGGCCAGTGACCCAAGCCAGTGACCCAGCGCTGGCCCACGGTGGCCGGGGACACACGCAGTTCCTGAGCCCCACCCCCGGAGAGCCTGAGTGGCTTCGAAGGTGCCCGGGGCCTGCGTCCTGCAAACAGCCCGGGGCGGGGGCGGGGGGCTTGGGGATGGCTGACATTCTTCCCGCCACAAATATGGGAGGAACCGCAGTTTCAGATCTGAAGAGCTCCCCAGAGTGTAAACTTCAAGCTTTTTTCCTTACCCGGTCAGTTATAACTCTAAACTATGAAATCGCACCACACGGTCTTTTTACCTCCACGTTTGAAGTGTGTTCCCAAAGAACAATTTCGTAGGTTGGCAGGTAGCGCTGGTGCCCAGCCTTGCTCTGCGGGCCCACGAAGACGCGCAGCGAGCTGCTGTTGACGGCCTTCAAGACCGTGAGGGGAGGGGGGACGGCGGCTGGAAGACACGCGTGCGGGTGCGGGTGAGCCCAGGCTGCGACGGCCACCCCAGCACCTCCCCGGAGAGTGCTGCTGGCTCACCCTGGCTCTCGGTGTCGAACTCCTTCTCCTGGGACCACGCGGACGTGCGGTTCCCGCAGGAGGCGCGCACGCGGAACAAGTAGAGCCCCCTGGAGAAGGTGCTGCGGGGGAAGGCGCACTGCGCGGCTCTGACGTTCTCGCAGCTCCGCACCGGGGCCCACTTCGCCTCGTGGTTTGCAGTCTTTTTCCAGTAGGTGCTTTTGAGACAAAAAAGAAGTTGGTTTTTGAAAAGCTCCAAACACACTCATTTTATCGAGTGCCCGGAGCAAGTTACACGCCGTGGTCCCCGCCCTCAGGAAACGGGTGACGCACACGGCCAGGAGGCTGACAGGGCGGTGACCTGTCCCAGGACCTTGGTCCCCAGGAATGCCGCAGGCTGCTTGCCAGACACAGCCCCTCCCTCACTGCCCCTCCCGCCCAAAGGTCCCGCTGACCCCGGGGCGGGTCTCCACCACCGGGGCGGTGACATTTCACCTCACCGTGGCCCTGAGAGGCCTGTACCCTGGTGTACACATCACCCCTGGGTGTGGGCAGGACCCACAACTCCTGACTCAGTCACATCAGTGCAGGAAAGATGAAGAGATTTTACAAGTGAAATTGAGGTCGAGAGTCAGTGGACTTCGAGTGAATCCAAGAGGGTGTAGACGGACCCTCGTCACCTGTCTCGTGAGGAGCTCCAAGGAGCAGGCCACCGTGAGCCGTGCGGCTGGAACGTGCCTCCTGCCAGCAACACAGGAGCGCAGGACGGGGCAGGGCGCCGCGCCTCAGATGCGCCGGCAGCCGGGCCCCGAGGCAGCAGGCATCCTTCTCCAGGCTGCTGAGCCCATGGCAGTCGGTTGCAGAACAACAGGAGACCAGCACCTCTCTCTATCCCACCTCCTGTGTGTCTCCCCTACCCCCGCTCCCCGTCGGCTACAGCCCAGCCCAGAGCGCCCTCCTGCCCACGTTTGTGCCCGATTCAACAGTCAGCTCCTGCCAGAAGGCTGCTCAGGTCTCTCCAGACCCACCACCTCTGCATTTTTAACTTCTGCTGCCTTAGAGTTTGTGTTCCGCTCCTCAGTCGTAAATGACACTTGGCAATGCCCGCTAACGTCAGCTCAGGTTCCTAGAACCACCTGTCTTGTCCTCCTGGACCTTCATAATCCCTTCAGTGCTCCGTGCACAGTGCCAAGCACACACACGAAACTCGGGGACCAGCCTTCCGAGGTCCCTGTCCCTCTGCAGCCTGTGGCCGTTCCCAGAAGACTCCTGCGGCGTCCTGCCCGGTCTGTGAGGTCACACGTGCACAGAGTGGCAAGCGCACACTCGATGCCTCTCCAGCACACACCTGCTCTTGGCCCCAAGCTGATGCCCCAGGACAGAGAGAAGTCCGTCTCGGCTGCGCCTGCCTCCTCCTCCCTCACCTGGACCTGCCCTTGTTGCTCTGCTTCTCTGCCCTGGACGCTACCCCCCCATCCCCTTCCCCAATTTCCCTCTTCTCTTCTCCCTCCCCTTTTGTCCCCCACAGTTTCCATCACAACTGTGCCCTCCCACTGCGTGGGTCAGACTCCATCCATAGCTCGCTGGTCTCCACTCAGCCACACAGAGCACAGCTCTTCCCAGCCTTCCTCAATCCCCACTCCAGTGCCCACTAAAAACCCGTCAAAACCACTGAACTGGTAAAGGAAAGGGGAAGGCGGACCCGAACGGGCTGGTCCCAGGGCCACTGCTGAGTGTCACAGGCAGGAGCGGGCCGCGCCAGGCACTTGATGGAGGAGCCGGCTGGACAGAGGAGCCGGCTCACCAGGAGAACCGCGCCTTCCCAAGGAAAAGGACCGGGCAGGGCACCGCACTTGTGAGAACACACTCGCCTTGCGACAAGGCAGAAACCCAGGCCCAGCAAGACTCAGCCTCACCCCGGAGAGCCAGGACCAGAACGGAGCATCCCGTCCCCACGGCAGAGCCAGCTCCTGGGATCCAGCCCAATGGCAGGAGCCGGGCCCGTGAGAACCCGTGGATGACCCTGCCGAATAAACCACACTAAAGGCCTGCTCGGGCTGGAACTTACGAGAGCCACTGCGCTTGGAAAGTCACGTTCTCGTGGGTGTAGTTCCACTGAAGGACGTAGACCTGATCCTTCCCGCTGACCTGCAGGTTCTCTGGTGCGGGCAGTCGGTCAGCATTTTCTACTAGAAGGCAAAGAACACAAGAGGGCCCACGTTTCAGTGTGACGAGGAGCGGGGTGGACCCGGACATCCGGGCGAGCGGGCCACGGGCCTGCAGCGCCGAGGGGTGCTCGCACAACGGACTCCCTGCGGCCACGGAAAAGAATGCAGGGCACTGGAGGGTTGGGGGGGCACTGGCGGGTGGGGGGGGCGCTGCATACAGATCGTGGATCCATCAGGTGAGATGAGAGGCTGTGAACTCCCCCTGGCGGGACCCTGTCTTCTAAATGTGAACCACGGAAGGGCTGTGTACGCCTGTCTGTGTGCTGGGGTCGCCCTAGAAAGGTCTGACGGAGACCCCGCGCTGCCGCTCGCTGGCGCAGGGGACTGGGGCCGGTGGCCGGAGCGGCATCGCTGACTCTGGGTGTCCCAGCGCGCTCCTGTGCTAATGCTGTCTTCACAGAGGCAGCGTGTCTGGAAGTCTGTTCCGGCAACGCCCTCCCCCTTTCTGCGGATACTGAACAGACCTTTTGGCTTCTGCCACTGCTTTTGTTTTAATGCTCATTAAACCACCCTACAAACTTCAGCAGCAAAAATGCCTGCAACGCCCAAACCGACAGACTGCCGGCCTCCCCGTTCTCACTGCGCCCAGAGCCACGCGCACTCACCGGTGGTGTTCACGCAGCGCAGGGGGCTCTCCACGGAAGGCCTCCTCTGCAGCAGAAGCCTCGCCTTCACTTTCACACAGTAGGTAGTCTCGGGGGAGAGGGGGCTTATCCGGTATCTGGGGTACACAGTATGGAATGTCTGTGACAAAAAAGCACAGAAGTCTGTTTTTAACAGTACAGGGCCAAACTCCAGAACTCACGCCGTCCGTCTCTCAGATGAATCAAGGACGGAAACGTGCTTACCTGAACGTCTGAAGCGCTCTTCCACAGGACTACGCTGTAGTTGAACCTGGACTTGTCCATGGCCCACATGAGACTGTCTTTTCCTCCAGGAGGAGAGATGCTTACTATTATCGCCTTATCTTCAGCTTCTAAATGCACCTCCGGAGGGCCAATTCGAGCTGTAAAAACCGAAACGTTCACTATCTAACCTCTCCCACACGGCGCCCAGTCACCGAACAAGTAACTGAGTGTTTTGCGTGTGTCGGCATGGCACACCAGAAAGAGGGCCAGAGACACAAGGGTTTCCAGGAAGGGGGGGTGGTGATCACGTGGATGCCACAGGGAACCGGACCCCGAGAAGGCCGGGAAGTCACGGGTGACCCTGAGAGTGGGTTCAGTGTAGCGACGAGGCACGAAGCCCGGACGGAGAGGGCAGAGGTGTGGGGGAGGAGGAGGGGCAGAGTGAAGGCTGCAGACCCCCGTGCGGGTTCCGTGGGGGCGGCAGCTCTCAAAAGCTTGGGTCTCAGGGTCTTTTTAGAGAAGCCGAGGGCCTGAGAACCCTTCTTCGTCAGGTCATGTCCTTTGATGTTTAGCACATTAAACATTAAAAGTGATAAAAATTTAAATATTCAATTCATTAAATATAATGACCAAACCACTATAACCAGTATTTGTTATAAAAAACACTACATTTCCCCAAGCCAACCAACCAACCAGTCAGCAAAAGCGCGAGTTTCCCATTCTGCTCAAGTCTCCTTCCTGCTCAGCTGACAGACAGCTTGCCCTGCACCTGCCCCACCCCTGCCCCGTGCACCTGCCCCGCACCTGCCCCATGCACCGCCAGCCCCACAGCCCACACCCCGCCGCTTTGGAAACCGCCCCAGGGCGCTCAAGAGAGGCTGGAAAAGGCGAGCGAGCCTTCCGAGTTCTGACGGATCTGGTCCGCCACCCGGACGGGCTCCTGAAGCAGGGGCTTTGAGAGCCACAGCGGTGGGGAAGGCAGACAAGGCAGGCGGGGGCACGGACGAGGGGTCTGAGGTGGGACACCTGCCGAAGGACGTGAGGACGCTCAGCTGGCGGCTTTTCCTTACCTTCATGCTGTGGTATAAAAGCGTCCAGCTCGTGCCATGGAGAAGTGCTGTTTCCTTCTTCTGCTCTTATACGCAATTTAATTTCGTCATAGACATTTATGTTCGTGTCGAGTAAAGAAAAGTCGCAGTTGGTACTGGCAATATACTGACACCCAGGCAATTTCATCCAATTATTCGTCTCGAACCTTTAAAATAAGAAAGCAAATGAATGAACGGCTGAACAGATGAAACACATGACGGTGTGTCGGACAAGCTTTCTGTTACTGACATTATAAACCTAGTTTGTTGCTTCTTCTACGTGAGTGGCTGTGCTGCTGACATTCCAGCGCATGACCTTCCACGCTGCCGATGCGGTTCACCACGTTATCATTCACAGAAGGATTCGTTCTGGCGCAGAGTTACTTGGAAGCTCTGTCATTTTGTGGGGGCTGCATTCAGATATCAGAGTGGCAGAGAAAGCCATGACCTACAAGGTGAGCGTGGGCTGGGCTGGGCGAGTTCCGGAGCTTCTCTTCTGTCCTTAAAATTGGGCAGCTGGGCCTGAGGGTTCCCTCCTGTGAACGGAGGTGCTGGCCCCAAGAACGGCCTCGGAATCGTCACAGTTGGAGAATTTCTGCTGCCCCTCAAAATCGAAGCATCCTTCTTTCCCGCCACAAAGAACTTAAAAGAACTTAAAATAACAAGAACTTAAAATAACAAAGAACTTAAAATAACAAGCACTCGTGCATTCCTCAACGTGGACCAAATCAATCAGAAAGCTTCAGTGACTAATGGGAGGGTCTCCAGGCCCGTGAAGAACTTGGCGGCCACCCCGTGTCCACACCAGATGGGGCCTGTTGCCGCAGAGGGGAAAGCACTCTGGAGTAAGGACGAGGGGCAGCGAGCAAACAGGAGGTTCCAAAACTTTACCTACCAAGCCCCGCCCACCCGGAGGCAGAGAAGCTGGGTGGGGAGGCCGTTCAGTCCAGCTTAGTCCAGAGTCCTAGCATTCGCTTTGTCTTTGTGACGCTGCAGAATTCATTTTAAAGATGTTTATGACAACAGAAACGAGGGGTGATTCCCAAACAATCATGGTGCTGACACAAATACAAGTCTGATTTTCCGAAACGCAAACATTCTTCGGAACGACCACAGCACACACTGGCACAGGGCACGCTGCCTCCCCGGCCGGGCCCTCCCCGGCGGCACCCGTCCGGGCTCTGCCAGCTGGCTGCACGGGCACCGAGGCACCTCCGTGCAACGGGACAGCGCGGGAGGACGCTGCCGCACCTCGAACCCCGCACTGTTTTTGGTAGTTGTGTTCTCCTCAGATATCGCTTATTAGAAAAGACAATTCCGGAAAAAGGAGGCGGCAGCAGGGTCCGGGGCAGGGGCACAGCACACAGGCCCCTTCCAAGCGGGGACCACAGGGGGCCACGGTACAACAAGGCGATGTGAACTCGGCCACACTCCGTGGTCCATTCATCTGGATGCTCTGGCCTTAAACGGGAAACTTCCTGGGTGACCGGTGGCCGGTGCTGCTGGCTCTCGAACCGATTCTGGGAGAGGCTGTAGGCACCGTCGTCTGAGCCTGTGTGGGCCCACAGGCTCCGCGTTTTAACGGCTTCTTCGAGGGTCTGTCACTTGTCAACAGTGACCTGTGTCCTCTGTTGAGAAACATGGCACTCTCCAGGAAACCGCGTCCTCTGACGACACGCCGGCAGACCGCTTGTGCCCCGCCACCGCCCTGAGGGCCTCCTGGGCAAGCGCTCAGCGCTCACGACAACCTGCTCAGCCGGACGCTTTGTCGTCGGGGTGTCCAAGCCCCGTTTGCCCGACAGTCCTGGTGTGAGCCTGCCGGTCCAGCTCCTGCAAAGTTACCTGCCTCTTTCCACCCCCAGAAACATCTGTTTCGGACGCTAACGTACATACACGGTCGGAGTTTTTCTCTCTACTTCCGTGACACACAAGGAGACCGGCGGACAGCACAAGGGGCACAGGGCGGCCTCACACGTGTGAGTGGCAGCGCGCTCCACGAGCGCCCCAGATGTGCAGGCCGGCACGTCCGCCCCAGGCCGCTGTTTCCAGAGCCGTCAGAGCACAGTGGAGGGAGACACGGGACACCCCACACCCGGAGGTCCGGGGGACAGCAGGGGGTGGGCCAGTGGGCACCGAGGACCTGGACGGAGCAGCGGCCCGGGCTCTGTTCTGGGGACGGGGGTTTCTGTCAGGAAGGGCGTCTGAAGTCACCTTTACCACTTTTGAACCAGTTGTCTGATAAGAAAACTCTGAACTAAGGCAAAGAACACAACTGGTAACAGATGTCCACATTAAATTTAAAGAAACCCCCTAGAGATAAAAATTCTTACATGGGCGAGCAAAAGCAGGCTTACAGTTGTTCACTGGGAAATAATACAATAATAGATAAGTAATCGTGTAGGAATGAACCGTTTCACGTGCTCACAGCTATAAACCTACTTTTACCCATCCCATGTTATCAATTCTGAGAAAAACTGTCTATGAATGAATGTGTACACGCACACACACGTGTGTGTAACAGTAACAGCAGAAGAGGGGCGGGTGGCAGTGGGTGAAGCAGTGGGGACCTGGTTCTGCCCATGCCTGTGTCCTGGCTACGGATCACCAGCCCTCTTAGGGACAGGAACAGGGACAGGGGTGTACACAGGCCCCAGCACCCCAAACAAAGCACTGGACTCCCCGGGCAGCGTCCCCCTGGAATCCCTCCTTCTGGGACCCCTGCCTGCCTAGCCCCCTGGCCAGCTGCCACGGAGTGGGGAGCTGCACTGGGGAGTGGGCCCCGAAACCCCACATCGCGGGCTGTGGAGGTGAGAGAGAGGCCTGTCTGCAGGAGACCTGCCATCCTGGGTCCCCTCTGCCTCCTCCGGTGTCTGCCACGCTCTCGCTCAGAGTGGGGTTTCTAGTCGGAGTGGGTGGAGCAGCCAGAACCGAAGGCCATCGCCAGCAGCTCTTCGGGGTCGATGCCCAAAGAGAAGGTCAACTGAGTCTCTAACTGCAGAAAGGAAGTTACACGTAGTATGTAGACACAAAATTTCTTTAAGAAATGAACAAACCAAATGTTACAACAATCTGAAAAAAAAAAACCCATGGTGCTGGAATTATAAAAATGTTTCAGACGACTCTGGCCACTGGGTCAGCAGAGTCACATACGTACGTCTGGTAATCTGCCGAGAAAGTCACATTCCTGCCAGGACCACTGCTGCCGGCCCACCGCAGGGTGAAGGTGTCATCGGTGATGGAGACTTCCACATCGTGGGGAGGTTTCAGGTGTGTTCCCCCTACGAAGGTAACAAGAAAGAAGAGTTATGGACACACTACAAATATTTGTTTAAAATATTTTATTTATTTATTTTTAAAGAGAGGGGAAGGGAGGGAGAAGGAGAGAAAGAGAAACATCCATGTGTGAGAGAAACACCAGCTGGTTGCCTCTCGCACACTCATCAACCCAGGTGTGTGCCCTGGGTTGGGAACTGAACCAGCGCCCTTTCAGTTTGCAGACAGACGCCCAAACCACTGAGCCACACCAGTCAGGGCCACTGCAGGTGTCTTTAAAAATGTCAGTCTTCCCTTCACATGCCTGATTAAAGAATAGATGCATTTACACATAATAAAGTATATAAAAAAAATCTACCAACACCTAATGGTTGCTCTTAGCATAGAAAAGCTGCCAACTATTTATATCTCTGCATCGGAAAGCTGGAAAAAGATTGAGTTTTTAAATCCATAAAAAGTGTTATATGTCAGTTATATCCCAATAAAAGCGGAATAAAGGAAAAAAGTGGGCATTGTTTTTTAACTGAAAAAAAATTCTCTGTGTAAAAAGAGAAGCTTTGTTTGGTCTGGAAGTCACACTGACATTGGGGACTTAGGGTCTGACCGTGTATAGTCTCATGTCCTCTGCTCCGAGACAGGCCTCACCCCTCTGGGAGAAAACCTGGCAGATGGGGCTCCATGGCAGACAGCGGTCCCAGGGAGGACTGCTCCCTGAACCAAACCCTAAGACAGAGCAGCTCGAGTGTCTGTCACGTCAGCCATCAGCCAGGTCCACAGGGACCCAGGAAGGTTCCAACCGCAGACACCCAGCCCGAACCCTCCTGTGTAGATATTTTTAAGGACGTCCACCTAGAGACCTTCATCACTTACACTTCTAGTACAAATCTTCCACCAGTTGGACGCCTCTTTCCCCGGTGCCTGTCTCTCTCATGGGCTCTCAAAACTGGTGGGACAGAGACTGTTTTGTGTCAAACATAAATCTCCAAACCAGACAAGTCCCTCAGGGCAGGGTCTCTGTGTACCTTGCAAACTCAGTCTTTCAGAGTGTTTAGCATAATGCTGGGTTCGAGGGAACTCCTTCCACGTCAGGAAGGTCTGGGTTTTTGCGGTGACAAACCACAATTTTTGAAAGACCAGCTTTTACACCGATCTCTGCTCCCTACGACAGTTCCAGCCTTTACTCTGCCACAGGGCAGGTGCGCCGTCTCCCTGCAGACCGCTCGCTCCCACCACGGTCCCAGTTAGCACACCTTCCTTACCAGGTCTGCCCCTTTTCTTTCCAGTTGGAGAAGTTACTGTATGGAATCAAAGGGCGGACAGTAAAGAGATCGTTTTCTGTTTCGTTTGTGCTTTTAGATTCAGGGAGGTGCTCATGGCCTGTCCCTACCCTGTTTTCTGGTTCCCACGCCTTGTTTCTGCGATCTTGCCCCTGCGCAGAATGCTTGCCCTTCGACCCTGTGAAACTTCATTCCCACCCCACCCACTGGCATTTTATGGAGCGCATGCACCTGGAGGGCCATGAACACAGACGTTAACAAAAGATCTGATGGCATCTGTAGTATCCAGTCCAGAATATCCCACTTCTGCAGTTCTGGGCCTTGAGATGGGAAGAGCAAGTCTGAGGGGCACTTCCTCGGGGATGCAGCCCCTGTTCAAGGAAGGAGGCCCTGGAGCTGGAGGCGACCCGGCCTCGAGAGATCAGCAAGTAACTGACTGATAAACAGAGACTGGGAAACAGTCTACTCAGCAGGACTTTGGATGTCACAGATTTTGTTCTATTATTATTGGCAGTACCCTCTGGATAATAGTTCACCTCACCCTTTCAGCATGTAAAATACATAATGGGCACTTCGTGCAAACTCGTATGTATACAATTGGTTGCTTCCAATCTTTCACATTCATGTCAATAACTGGACAGTTTACTGTTTTAAAAGTCTGACATAAATCCAAACACATGCACCTGCATATATATAAACTTCCTCCCATAGTTCACACCATGTTCTTATTAGGGTCCAAGAACCGCTCTTACCAGGCTTAACAATATGAATATTCGTGTGACCGTGAAAGACAGAGCAACGTTGCAATCTCAAGCTAAGGGTACCACCTCATTTCATTCTGAACAGTACTTTTCCTTTTAGAAAACAGCTGGCCATTGAGAGATGGGCTCAACTTCCAGGCCCGACTTCCTGGGTCTGATTTTCCACTTGGCTCCGGGCAGCCATCCTGGCCTGGGGGTGGGGGGGTCACTTAGCCTCTCAGGGCCTCACTTTGCTCATAGCAAGAACCAGGACAAAGGTGCCTAGCGGTTGATTTGAAGCTGAAGGGAATTCATACATTCCAAACAGTGTTTTCAACCTTTTTCATTTTG